AAGTGGGTCGTTACAGACATATTGTACCCCTTTATTGGTGATTAATAAAATTAAATATTTGTCCACGTGTTCGGTCCTAGAATTTGGACCTAAAATTTATGTACAAATTTTTGGCACGTATGATGGGACTGACTCTCATTTCTTCTCCATTAAATCTTGAAACTTCATCTTTTGGTCATCAATGGTTACTCGAAATGTTCAAGCTGTCCGGACAAGCAAAATTACTATCAAAAATATTGCGGTGACAACAACCAACATTGTCGCCACGGAGACCATGTAAATGCATTTAAAAGATTCAATTTGTACGTAAAAACGATTCTAACTGCTTGTTTTTCATTTTTTTCACTTTGCTATGCCACTCTTTGATTCTTAAACAAGTATTCATAATAATTACCTTGATAACAGATAAGAGTTCGACCAAATGCTATCTTCCTGTCCTAGTTGGTCCCCCGCGATTCCATTTAGTATGTCATATCCACTTATTTACTAAATAATTATTAAAAATAAAATAATTATTTATTAGGTAAAGTGCAAAAAATAATTTCTGTTATATATAAAAAAAAATTAAAAAAAATACCCCCTCGTGTTCAAAAACTCCCTAGGAGTTTTTTTTTTCTTTCAAAAACTCTCTTACAATTTTCAAATTGTGCAGATAAGTACATTTAAAAAAAAAAAAAAACCCCACTAATTTTAGTTTTAAAGGGCATTTTAAAGTTTTTATTAAAAAAAATTGTCAAAATTGACAATCAATTGATAGTAAAGAGTAATTTGCACGTATTTTTAAATGTCAAGAATTCATATGCACATGTTAAGTAGTGGGATTATTTTTTACAATTTTTTTTTATATATAATAAGGTGTTTCTTTTGACACTTTACCCTTATTTATTTATTTATGGAAAATGATTCTTCTATCGAATAGTTACGGTGAATTATTAGACGTACTCTTTTAATTATTCATTTATGCAACAAATAAGAAAGTGAAGCCCTAATTATATTTGGTATAAATAATTAATTAAAAATTATTTTATTAGACAATTTATTATAAGTATTTAGCGTAAGTATCACTATTTTTTATTTATTTTTTAAAAAAATCTTGTTTTATAGAGGGGAGAATAGGAACGAAAAATAGTAAAATATAAAAAACAATAATTGCAATTGATGTATTTATTGTTCCTATGAGGATGACTAAGGATATTTTTTAGAGTACACTTTTTGCAATCTGTTCTTTGGAGTGTACTTTTTTTTTTTTTGACATAAAAAAATAAAAAAATAAAAAATTAGAATCTTAACTTGTGTGACCCGCAAGAGGAGTAAGACATTGGGAATGAAAGGTAGCAACTATTATCGGCATCTTTGGGCTACTGTTTTAGAAAAAGGGAGTCCTCCACATGGGGTTCAATAAATTTATAATCTGGCTACTGTTTTAGGAAAAGTTGGATCCTAAAACTTAGGTGCAAGGCTACCAAAATATGCATCATTGTCCTTAGAGCCAATCATAGGTTCTCCTAACAAGGGTAGGGCTGGTTGGTGTACTCCACACTTTATATTCTGATATACTTTTATTCGTTTTTGCTTACCAATTCTTGCAAAATTACTTTACAATCATTGTATGATTTATACACACAATAATCCGTTCGTGTTTTATTTAAGGTAAATTATACTTGCTTCTCTCAAAATTTGAGCAAATTATATAAGGTAGGTCATTCGGCCTCTCCTAAACACGTTCACCGACTGTCGAAAAGTAATTTTGAGCCTAAAAAGTCCATAATGTTCTTGTATTTTAATGATAAGGTAAAATTATCATTTTATAAAATTTGGTAATAGATCTATCAGAATGCAAATGTTAAGGGTGTGTCGTTAAGCATACACACAACTTCGGTTAATTTGCCCAAACTTGAAGAGAGGTATTTATGTCAAATAAATTTCTTTAATTTTTATTTATTTATTTTATTTATTATAGTTAACTCATGTCTTCTTAAATTCTAACAGTGTTTTAAATGTTCATGACTAGGTATAATTTATACTTCCTCACCTACTACCCCTTTTTGGAGCACATACATGATTAAATTCAAAATATGTGTTATTCATCACAAGTTTTAACAGCTGCTTATGTATGTTATAGTAACTTTTAGATCTCTCTCTATCCATTTATTTTCTGGTAACCAAGTTAATTTTTCTCCTTTTTAAGGTATTTACAAGTTCATTAAATTTACCATTTAATGTGTCTTTAAACCATATTACTACTATTATAACTTTGTGTTTTGAATTATAATAAGGACAAATTGCATTAAACCCCCTCTAGTTTTAATTTTGGCAGAAAACACCCCTCTAAAAAAAAAAGTTACTATAAACCCCTAAGTATTTTATTGTTGCAACATTGCCTCTTCAATCAGAAAAATCGTTTTATGGAACGAAATTGTCCCTCCCAACCATTTGAAGGTTTATTTTTCTTTCTTTTTATTTAATAATTGAAAAAGGGTCACTTTAAACTATATGCATATATAGTTATACATATATATATATACAAAAAAAATAAAAATAAAAATACAATTAGCTAGACATAAATGCATTTGAATTTTTTTTTCTTTCTTAATAATCGAAACAAGATCACTTTAAACCTTTTTTTTTAAAAGAAAAATCTCCAAATGCAATTAGGTCACTTTAAACTATATGCATGTTAAGCGTGGAAAAAAATTAAAACACTCAAAACATTTTTTATTATTCAGCGTGGAAAAAAAGAGTCCAAGAAAAAAAGAAGAAAGAACAGCGCGAACAAAAACAAGAAAGAAAAAATAGGATGTCAGCGACCACATCACCTTTCTTATTTCTTTATGCATTACCCTCTTTTTCTCCTCTCTCTCGTATTTTTTAACGTCAAACAATCTTGTAAATGTATATATATATATATATATATATATATATATATAAACACACACACACACGCACACACAAGAACCAGACACTTCTAAATGTTACAATTGAAATTTTCATTTACCTTTGGGGGTCGGGTGGGCTTGAGAGAGAGAGAGGTGTTGGAATTGTTTTGGTATTGAAAATCTTTGCTTGAATCATATGATTCAAATTGTCTTTGAAATTAGAATGCAATTCAAATCTCAAAATGATTTTTAATATTCAAAAAGTGAATTTAAAATTGAAACCAGTAACCTAACGGTGTTAAATTCTTATTTTTTAAAGAAAGATAAAAAATTTAAGTCTTGAATCTCTCAATGAAGGTACTAATTAAAAAAAACATTGAGACTTTCAATTCAAATTCAAATTCTAAAACTTCAATGGTCAAATTCAAATTCTAAAACTTCAATGGTCAAATTCTAATTCTAAAACTTCAGTAGTCAAATATACCCTTAAGCAGGCTATTGTTTTAGAAAAAGGGATTCCACATGGGGTTCAATGAATTTATAATTGTTTCGATAAAAGGCTAAAAGTTGTTGCTTCCGATTATGCATTGTGAAGGAAAAAGATCCTAAAACTTGGGTGCAAGGCTGCCAAGTATGCATCATATATAATCATCATAGCCATGATAGGTTCCTCCCATCGTCTGAATCCTAAACAAGGGAAGTGTTGGTTGGTGTGGGACCCCACACTTTATATTCTGATATCCTTTTATTGGTTTTTTATACTTAGATATTTGCTTACTAATTCTTGCAAAATTACTTTACAATCCTTGTATGATTTACACCTCCATCCCTTTGAACAGACAATAATCAATTTGTGTTTTATTTAGGATAAATTATATTACCTTTCTTAAAATTTGAGCAAATTACATACGGATAGGTTACTAAGTGTTTATTACTTTAACCACCCTTAAATTCATTTTCTAATTATCCAAAAATGATATTAAATATGAAAGGTTAAAAATGTTCTATTATTATAATAATATATTATATTACATTTTATACAAATAAAGGAAAATTATCATCTTATAAAATATGGTGACAAATCTAGAAGAAAAAGTTGTCATTGAGTACATATGTCAAATATCAAGGAGATCAAAGTAATAAATATTGAACGATCTATCTATGTATAATTTGCTCAAACTTCAGAGGAGGTTAATATAATTTATCCTTTTATCTATGTCAAATAAATTTCTTTCTTTTTTTAATTTTTTTTTTATAGTTAATTAATGTCTTCTTAAATTCTATAAAAGTATTTTAAATATTCATGACTAGTTATATTTTATGCTTCCTCACCTAATTCCCCTGTTTGGGCCACATGCATTATTAAATTCAATATATGTAGTATTATTCAATAGCTTATTGTCTAATAACTGTTTATATTTTTATTTATTCACCAAAGGTACTAACTCACTATATTATGAAAATATCTACTTTAGCAACTTTTAAATGCTTCTCTATCCATTTATTTTCTGGTAACCAAAGTAATTTTTTAAGTTATTTACAAGTTCATTAAATCTAACATTTAATGTGTTTTAAAATCATATTACTAATATGCCTTTTGTTTTGAATTAGAATAATAATAATTTGGAGTCAAAAAATTATTTAAAGATTTATGTAAATGGAAGCCTTGACATGATGTTATTAATATCCTAAAATTAATAGAATTTATCCAAATTTCTAACTTCCGTGTCATTACTCTTTTGAATTAATTTTATTTTTGCTAAATGACCCATCATAGAAAATTAACACTTTTTTTTTTTTTAATCTTTTTTAAACTTTGGTGAAAATTGACACAATTTATCCACCTCTTTTTTGATGATGATGAGAAAGAGTCAAATATCTATTTTTTTCTTTTTTAACTGCAAATTTTTAACTTTATATTACCTTATAGTAAAATAGTATTAATTTATCTAATAACTCTATTCTTGTACTATAACTCTATTCTTGTACTAATTATTTTCTTAATCTGTCACATGCAGCATATTCAATCTTGGTGTGACAGAGCATCCTGATTCTAGGTAGCTATAGATAAAAAAGTAGAGTAAAAAATAAAAGAAGATGCCATCTTCACACAGTGTCCACCCACTACTGGTTTTCCCTTTGCTGTCTTTTTGTGTCCACAACAGCGACACTTTCCCAATGCATTTTCCTCCGAACCAAACGACAATCATCCACTCTAAACGCTTTGAATTTTCCCCAACCCGTGTCCTCTCCTTCCCATTCCCCTTCTCCAATCGCTTTGTCATCCCCAAACAAAATTCAAAATCAATCTTCCATTTTCCCAAGAATTTTCTCTGTTAACTGTAGCATTCATTCTCTTCTGTACACAAACCAAAATTAGGGTTAGGGTTAGGGTTTGAGTTTTCTATTTTCTTGAACAGGTCGTGATTTTTTCTCACTTTTCTTCCGATGTTGAAACCTTAAAAGGTGATTAGGTTTGTTTCCGGCGAAAGAAAATGCCACCGGAAGAGTTACCTACAGTTGATGATGGAGTGCAGTACTCGTTCGCGGTGGAGTACAATGGTCCGCCTATCATTGGCGATCTTCCCCGAGCCGTTCCGATCAATGTGGAGAGAATTCCGGTGGCTGCGGTGGTGGCGCAAGTGGCTTTCTCCGATAGATTGTCGTTGCCGGTTGTTCAGCCGATCTCGGCGTCAGATATCAGTACCAAGTTTTCGAAGAAGTTAACCCTAGGTTCTGAATCCACTGTCTCTCCGACTTCTGTGATTGCCTTTGAGCAGGGAGCAACGGATGGTGATGACCTTGTGTCGAAAGAGCTGGCTTTGGGGTCTGAATCAACTGTTTCTCCAACTTCTGTGATTGCGTTTGAGGAGAGAGCTGCTGCGGATAATTGTGATTGTGCCTTATCAGGTGAGTTCAGTAGCTCAGGTACTTTAGAGTTTCCTAATGGTGGTTATGTGTCTGGAGAATTGTCTGATATGATTCGTAGCTCAACTGGTCTTGGGTCTTCTTCCTCCATTAGTCATGAACTGTCACATGAGTTATTGGGCGTGGCGGGAAGCTCAGGAACCTTGGGGTTTTCGGATAGCTTTGAGAAATCAAGTGAGCCATTGAGGGTTTCAAATCGTTACAAGGATAGCGTAGATTTGAATGAATTGAACCAACCAGATTGGGCCTCAAGTGAGTCTGTGTTAAGCACGGATTATCCATCTTCTCGGGTTTCTTCTCTTAAAGTTGGGGATTGCAATAATGAATCTGCTGCTGATGCAAGACGGACACCGGTTGTAACTTTTCGTGATATTGAGTCAGAGGATGAAGATTTTCATGAGCAATTTAATCGTACCAAGTCTGAAATTATCAGAGAAAAGAAAGAACCTGGGGTTAAGGTAAGGAAAGGAGCATGCTATCGATGCTTTAAAGGGAATAGGTTCACTGAAAAGGAGGTCTGCATTGTTTGTGATGCAAAGTACTGCAGTAATTGCGTACTCAGAGCAATGGGATCTATGCCAGAAGGCAGAAAGTGTGTTACTTGTATTGGGTATCCTATTGATGAGCCGAAGCGAGGGAACCTGGGAAAATCCTCTCGAATGCTCAAGAGGCTGCTTAATGAGTTGGAGATTCGACAGATAATGAAGGCTGAGAAGTTGTGTGAAGTAAACCAATTGCCACCAGAGTATGTCTGCGTGAATGATAAGGCTCTTTGTCAAGAGGAGCTAGCTATATTGCAAAGCTGTCCGAACCCGCCAAAGAAGCTGAAGCCAGGAAGCTATTGGTATGATAAAGTATCTGGTCTTTGGGGAAAGGTGAATACTGTGCCCTTGAAACATTTATTTTGGTTCTGTTATTCTTGATTTTGTTGTATAATTATGGAACTTGATGGTTCTTCTAATTTTAACAGGAAGGACAAAAGCCTTCCAAAATTATTAGTCCCCACCTAAATGTTGGGGGTCCTATCAAGGCAGATGCTAGCAATGGAAACACACAAGTTTTTATAAATGGTCGGGAGATCACAAAAGTAGAGCTGCGAATGTTACAGGTTGATGCTTCTTACCATGTAAACATATTATTGAAACTTGTTCATGCACGTTCTTCTGTTAAGATTATCGTGTTGAATGTGGCAGTTGGCAGGAGTCCAATGTGCTGGCAACCCACACTTTTGGGTGAATGATGATGGTTCATACCAGGAAGAGGGACAGAAAAATACGAGAGGGTTCATCTGGGGCAAGGTGCGTATCTGAGGTGCATGTACTTTTGTGTTTTCCTCCCTGATCCTCCAATATCTCCACCCTTTCAACCCCTCACCCCGTTTAGCAAGGAAGAAGAAGAAGAAAAAAAAGAGCTCATGCACAACTATATATATATATATATTATGTTAATTTAAATTTATGTCACTTTTTCAGGCTGGAACAAAGCTGGTTTGTGCTGTATTGTCACTTCCAGTTCCATCCAAGTCCACAAATCCTTGTGGAGAACAAGTGAATCATTTGGTTAGTCGAACTGTGCCTGACTACCTTGAGCAAAGAACACTTCAAAAACTTCTTTTAATTGGATATAATGGATCTGGGACGAGTACCATATTTAAACAGGTAGTTTCCAATTGAGGGCTCAAATCCGTGTATGATTATCTTACTATACTAAGTAGCTCAATTCCTTGTCGCATCTCATTTGATGCTGCAGTGACAATATTATGTTTGCTTTGTTCTTTGTCATTCTTATGAGTATTGTGGCTTATTGCAGAGTTCTCTGTTGTGATCTTGCTAATATATATTATCAGAATTAGCTCCCGTATCACCCCCTTCATTCTGGCTCCCTTCGTCGCTCTCTATGTCCTCCTGAACATATATATATTTTTTATTGTGTTGTGATTGATTCGGTAATAATTGATTACATATAGGTTTGTCTAATATTTGAAAGATGCTTTTATGGACTCCATCGCTTTGCTCTTATCTCGTATGATCAATAAAATGTCTTTTTTACCACTTGTCAAAAAAAAGTGTCTTTCATAGGATTCATCAGAATATTCATAGAAGATGGCGTGGTCGAAGTTTTGTTTATTTGAGTACTTCTTTTGTTTCTTTTGGTCAATTTATATATTATGTTCAAAAGATATGTTAGATGGAATAAATTGGGAGGAGTTTATTTATTTATTTTATAATGGAAGTTGAGGTATACAGTTTTACTTGCCTTAGAAAAAACAGGTTTGCATGTTTTATGGAGTTGCAGGAAGAAGGTGGAATGATGAGTGGATCCCTCTATTTGGCAACGGCTTTGGAGTGTTTATCATGGCAGCACTTTCCTTGCAATAGTGATTGTAGTTGCAGCAACCCTTAGTAGATTGTAACAAGGACTATTAGGTGTATCGTGTGCTACCAAACCAAATGGAATTCCATATACATATATGGGTTGACACAAATTGTAGACATGCTGAAAACTACAGGGCTTCCTTTCTTTTTTCTTTTAATGAACTTATTTCCTCATCATATATAGATTTATATTTGTGAAGTAAAAAGAGCCTTAAAGGATCTTCAAATTTGGGAGTTATGAGCTTACATTTTCTGTTCTGCTTCCGCTTTTGCTGTATGCATGCATTTAGGTTCACCGATACGCAGATTTACTCTTTGGTGTCTCCTATCTGTCTCAACCATGGTGTCTTCTGCTGCTGCGATTAAAATTACTATAATTATATAACAATCAGAATGACAAATTTTAAATATCTTATTGTTGGTGCAAAATGAGAGTGATGCAAAATTGCTCTTGTTGATATGACTTTCTTCTGCATTGCTAGACTGGCTGTTTTATAATTTCAAATCATAAGTGGCCAGTTAAAGGAGATTCTTTTTTTCTTTCTATGACTTTTCTTTATGGCATGTGGTAGATGTGCTTAAGGTTTGTTTCTGTTTTCCTCAATTTTTTTTTTTTTTGTGTGTGTGTGTGTGGTAATGTTGGCATTAGTTATGCTCCAAGTGGTATTATGTTTGAGCATATCTTTTATTTTTTAGTATGCTGAATAAAATCTGAAGACAGTGTATTTATTACGTTAAATTTTTTTATTAGGCCAAGATCCTTTATAAAGACGTCCCTTTCTCGGAGGATGAGCGGGAGAATATCAAATTATTGATCCAGAGCAATGTGTATCGCTACATTGGTATACTCCTTGAGGGTCGTGAACGTTTTGAAGATGAAAGTTTGAATGATACGAGGAAAAATCAGTCTTTTGATGGATCTGGTGCGATAAGTATTAATGTTTTTTTATTCTTTACTTTTTACTCATTTTCTTTCTTACAGTCTTACTTCAATGCATATGTGTATCCTTTATTCAATTAGTGCTGATTCAGACATGTTGATTCGTTTCTAGTGGAATTAATACCGACTGTTATGACTTGTGGAAATTAAAAATGATATGTAATATTCTTCAAGTCTACATGGCCGGGGTCTATGTGGGTATAGTATCTTGCAAGCATTGAGTATAGATGAATCTAAGGCATTCAATCAATTATTATGCATCAAATTTGAAGGAAATGCCATTGCATTTCATGATCCCAGAGCTTATTTTTAAATATATACTTTCAAGGTCAATGGATCTGAATGATAGTTTGTCTTCAAAATGAGCTAGATTGGGAAGCATTATTCTTTTTAATAAGTTCTGTCAGGTGTTTTATCGATCTACAATTAGATATTTCTTAATTTGGAGTATGCCAAGCAAGATTCACTGAAAATCGCTAAGAGCCCATTTGGGATTGCTTTTCAACCACTTTAAAGCACTTTTATTTTAAAAAATTGCATTTATACGTGTTTGGTAACCATTAAAAACACTTTTACTAGTTACCAATTTTAGCTAAGTAGAGTTTTTGAATGAAGCTAAAATTTGCAGCTTTTAAAACTGTGTTTTGGGTAGATGTTTCATATTTTAGGTAACTGTTTTTCATTAGACAATTTTATCTCTATATATTTGTTATAAAGATAATTTCATCCTTTCTTTTATAAAGTCGTTCTATTATAAAATATATTAGCGCTCTATTAAAGGACATTATTGTAAAATTAGTAATAGAAGTTTTTAAACAATATTGTTACCATACAAATTGAAAAGTACTTTAATTGTGAAGAGTACTTTATATAATGGATCACCAAACACCTAACATGCTTTTTACTTGCAATAATTTTATGACAGCTCTGCTGATAAAACACACTTTTTTTCATTCTAACTGCAACGCCAAACAGGCACTAATTGGAGTTTGTAAAGCATTTTTAGCCCTAACTGTGCTATTTTGGGGTTGACTTGATTAGAATAAGGTATAGATGGATACCATCAAGTACAATACATGTTTGAAATGTCAATATCTTTATTGGTTCAATTAATTTTCTATCTACTGGAAGAAGTTATACACTTGAACAAAGAGGTAAACTTTTGTATATATATATTATCATTTATAATTTGAATTTTCTTTAAAATTGTTTCTAATGGCACAAATTTTAAGATTGCTTTGCTGAATAGAGCTTGAAGACTCTGAAGGGGCTGAACATATGCTTGAGTCTGCCATTATGTACTTTGCTAATTGTTGGAGAATATTATTTTAGCCTATGATAGAATATTGATTGAAGTAATTTATGGGATTGATTTTATGAATCATCCATCAATGTATTTTCCATCTTTATCACTTGTATACTTTCACCTATAAATAGAAGTGCTTATTGTAAACAAACTTAAGAGAGAATATAATAATAGTGATGTAGCCCTTTGGGCTCTTTGTGCCGTGGATGTAGGTCCTAGTGGCTGAACCACTTTATATCCTTTTGTTCTTCATTTTCTATTTATCTTTTTAAACACTAATTAAAGACTTTCAGCATTTTGTGTCTGCCTTGAGCCTAATTTGAAGTTGAGCTACCAGTTGAAAATCCGAAATGCAAGAAATAAATTATGTTTGCATATTCTTAAGTCTTTTACATTATTCTCATTATAAATTACGTATTGTTTGAAACATAAACACTTTTGTGGAACAAGTAAACAGGATTGGAAGTTGCTCCTACTTTTATGGTATAAACTATATTCATCAGAAGAAAAACTTAATATGCAAGTCAATCATATTTGTTTTGTCTTAATTTTTTAATACATGGCTACTACTTTTAACTTGGTGCATCTCTAATGATGCTTAACATAATGGCAGCTGATTGGCATCTTATGTTCTGGTTGGCACTTTGAGTGGCGGGGATGTTAATTTTGATCAGAGCACTGATTATTATTATTATTAGGTGTTATATGGTTTATCATATATGCTCTCAATTTCCTAATAGTCATGATGGTTTGTGAATTATGGTTTTTTTTGGTGATATTCAATACAGTTCTTTGGTCAAGGTTTTTCATAACAAATGTTTTAGAGGATTGCATGCAATTTGCAACATGATCATGTCAATAACTAAATTTTGGTAGATATCTTATTAAGTATCTTATCCTTTTATCTAGTGAAAAAAAAAAGATGGAACAAGTTATAACACAATGAAAATGGTTTCTGCCTTCTGGTTACCACAGGGAATACCGATGCAAAGGATACCAAAACTATCTATTCCATTTGCCCAAGGTTAAAAGCGTTCTCCGATTGGCTTCTCAAAGTTATGGTGTCAGGTAATTTGGAAGTGATATTCCCGGCTGCTACTCGGGAGTATGCACCATTAGTTGAGGAGCTGTGGAAGGATGCAGCCATCCAGACTACATACAGCCGGAGAAGTGAATTGGAAATGCTACCTAATATTGCTAGTTATTTCTTAGAGCGGGTAAAATATCATGCTTCATAATCTTTTGCTGTCTTGTCTAGTTAAATGCGGAAATTTTAGTTAAATTAATGCTTCTCATAAATAATTGCTTGTTAATCTATTTCAGCATGAAGGATATTCATGTTTGCTTGGTATTTTGTGGCTACAAAAAGGTAGATGTGTAACATGCCTGAGAAAAATGTGTGAATGAACAATGCAGTGAAATCTTCAGAACATTGACATTTCCCTGACACTTTACATCATAATAGATATAAAGCAAGATGAATAGGGGTAATAGATGATAAGGTTTAATCATTACTAGAAAAGGGTATAAGGGAAAATAAATAGAATTATAATGGGAGAGTATGGGCTGATTTGTGATGTGCACATATTTGCAGATGTGAATAACGCCAGGCAATTGTACCTTTTGCAATAGAATAACATTTAATAATTTTGAAATCAGGTTAAGTTAGAGCAAACACACCCATTATCCACAACATGTCCCTAGTGGGACTCTAAATGAGAGTCAAGAGTGCTTGAAATTATCAGGAGAGATCATACCATTGGGCTAGAGAAAAGTAGATTGTATAAGAGAAAACATACAAAGATTTTAAGTTTGTTTGTTAGAGAAATTAACGTCTTAATATAGGGTCTTAAATCGTCTATGGTTCAATTCTATTAGCCTTGAAGACTTTTTTCACCGAAAAAACATCTTACTATAGGTTGATTAATTTAGATTTATATACTAAAGGGTGATTAGAAATCCTTGAACTAGATAGTAAAATTTAAAAGTATTAAAAATGGAACTTTTAATAATAAGATGTTAAGAGTAGTTGCATTGAATTTAGAAGATTAAATTAATGTAATTTGGAATAGGATGTTGAAATGCATTAAAAGAATATGTGTATATATATATATATATATAAGGCCTATTGAAGGATTGAAAGTAAAAGGATCAATATGTAAGAGAACTTAATACTATGGGATGAGAATGTTAAGTTGTAGTAAAAACAAAAAAAAATAAGGAATGGTCAAGATTTAGCATGAAACTAGAATTGAAGAACATTTTTAAGTTTTCAGATGTGTGATGAAGGAAATTAAAGAAATTAGAAAGATACGGGTTATACAATAGAGTATCAACAATTTAAATCCAACCTGGTACAAATGATAGGGAGAAAAGAATACAAACTTGCTAAGTTAAGGAAGAGGAACAATAAAGATTTTAATTATATTAGGTGCATCAAAAGTTTGGATCTAAAGGTTTATGTTACATAGACTCGGGTACGGGTGTCAGACACGGGTGTGTATCCATGAGTCGGACATGTCAAATATCCAAACAGAAGGACACACAGACATTGCTAAATTTTTTTTTTTTATTAATTATTTTATTTTCTAGAGTAAAGTAATGTTTTTATCTAATATAATGTTCAATATAGGCATTTAACTCATTTTAAAGTAATAATATAATGTAATTGAATGATTGGCTATGCTTTTTAAGTACATGTCCAACCAAAAGTGTCGGACACATATTCCATACCCATGTTTGAGGGATATGTGTCCGACACGGGTACTTCACTACTTTTGAAGAGTTCATGTAACAGGTTTTGGTGAAAGACTGTGAAATTGAAAAGAAAAAAAGGTGGAAAACTTAATTTGGTAAGTTGAAGGAAAATCATATAGAAAACTTAGGTTTAGAAAAATATTGTAACCGTGGGGACCGTAGGGTGATTAGAGAAGAAAACTTTTTTCATTGGATCAGGATACGTGGTAAGAAATATACTATGGAAGAAAATAGAAAGGATTTGTGTAAGAAGATGAAATTTTTAGTGAGGCTTGGAATTGTCGAGGGGATAATTACGTGTCTTAGCTAACAATATTGTATAATAAGATTATAACAACTAAGTAAATGCCTTACCACCAAGGGTCTTCCCAAATGGAAGGTTGAGAATTCAAGTCCTCAATAATATGTGTCTTTGATTTACTTAAAAAAAAAATTAAGAATAAAATAAAATCTAAGAAAATGCCTGAAGAGAAAATAATTTTTCCTATTTATTGATAAAAGTAATTTAATTAAATGGATATTCAAAGTCGTAGAAGTTATTTCGGTATTAATTTAATGTGTTTGACTATGAAATTTTGGAAGAGTGTTAGGAAAATGATCAATTTTGATAATGTCGTGAATCTTGACAAAAAAAATCCATGTATTTTTTAGAGGACTGATGGAAAGATGAGAGAAGTAAGATTTTTATATGGTTTGTTAGTTTGGATAAAGATATAATAGGGTACAGTGATAGTTCTATTTAATAAACGAGTCATATATATATATATATATATATATATGTTGACATGGTAAAGGATATTGTAATGAGTTGTGATTATAGAAGAACAATCATCAGATAAATAAATGAATTTCTGTATGACAGATAAATGTGCATGACGGATAAATGTTAAGCCCATGTCCTTTTACCTTAATTATAGATGGCCTGACAAGACACATTTATGACGAAGTTTCATAACATATACTATTTTTGGTTATATATATATATACACACACACACATATGTATAAAATATATGGTTTTGGGTTTTCATGTTTTGGGTTTATGAAACTAATGTAGCAAAACTGCTAAATTAGAAGTCTTCAAAGAAGTTTTAGAAATCATGAAGATTAATATAATTAGGAATGAAACTGATAATATGGAATGTGATTTTTTAAATAAAGGTCGGAAAACTGATGGGGATGTTATGGTCAACTTGGCCAAGAGAGGCAAGGAAAAGTATGAAGAAGAAAATCTTTTTTCTTTTTTCTTTTTTTTTTTTTTTTTTTTTTTTTTTTTTTTTTTTTTTTTTTTACCTTATACTTTGATCATAGTAGAGCGGGGTGGTTGGATTGTTGCAAATAGAATTAAAATATGATAGGTCAAGTGTAGGTGTGCTGCTAGCGTATTGTGTGATCTTTGTTTACTTCTAAAATTGAAAGGTAGATTACATAAAACAATTATTAAAGCAATCACACTTAATAGGAAAGAATGTTGGGCAACTAAAAAATGTGTTTGTAATATTTCTCTCAAATGTGGATGCCGAGATGGATATATGGTAAGATAAGAAATGCTAAAATAAAAAATAAATAAATTTGTGAGATGATGAATTAACATCCATTGAAGATAAAGATGAGTGTGAATTGACTATGATGGTTTGATCATGTGTCTCGGAAAAAGACCAATGACTACACCAGTAAGGAAAAATGACAGGCCACATTGAAGGTAACATGGGAAAATGAAGACCAAAATTAACATAGATTGAGATAGTATGCATGGGAATATATGATATTGGTGGTTTAACTAAAGTTATGGCATTGTGACATAGTCCACGATCTCCACATTGAGGGTAATACTAGGGGAAGAGGAAGACCAAATGTGGGTAGAGTTGTAAGGAAGGATATGATAGCATGGGGATTGACTGAGGATATGGCCTTAAATAGAGTGAAATGAAAACATAGGATTCTTGTAGCCAACCCCAAGGAGTTGGGAAAAAGGCTTGGTGGTGGTGGATGTTGTGAACTAAAGTTATGGCATTAAGTTGAATAGAAACATGATTTGTGTAAACGACCCCAAAGGATTGGGACAAGGTTTTCTTGAATTAAATTTAGAAGATTTGGTCCATTTTGGACAATGCCTTTGGTACAAGTGTTTTACCACTCCATGTTAGTATTTTTTTTTTTTGTCCTTTCCTTTCTCTGATGATAAGCAGACTTGGGTTCTTATCACGATTCTCCTTTGGTTACTTGGATGTGCTGATGGTCAACAAATGTGCCCTTCTATTAACTTAATGATGCCAAACCTTCCCACAACTAAGGAGTTTTTATTTGTCATGCTTTATATGGTAGAGAATATAAGCTTAAGAAGATAAGGTTAAACCTTTTTTTGGATGATCAACCTTAATGTGCACTAATATAATATGTCAATCGATTTAATTTTACTAAAAACAGGATTGGTTTGTTGCTCAGCCTTGTAGAAACAAAATAGTAATATGCCATTAAGCAGCAGCAACAAATTACATTTGGGATGATGGTATACTGTACTTTTAGGTGTTAGATAAGAAAGGTGTAAAGGCTTTCTCTGAGGTGTTCCTGATTGTTTTTAGAACTCTTAAGGGGATAAAGCATATAGATAGATGTCTAATGTCCCTACTCTCATACTATTAGTGCTCTTTTAACCCATTTGGGAGAGCCTCTAGCTTTGGGAAGAGACTAGAGAGTATACACTAGCCATGTTCATTCTTGTGCTTTACGGTTTCCGAGGTGCTGCTATGGCTGAACTGCTGAAAGTGAAGCTCTACACTTTTGGAAGTATTTGACCAACCTAGCATTTGGTTCATGCTTCAAAACCAATGTTAGGTTGGTTCTCGTGTGTTTGCCTCCAACAAACTAAAGTTTTATATGCCCTTACATGTTTATTACTACTATTTGTTTTCCATATTATGTTAATGATCGGTGTTACACAATTCCAAGAGTACCAACAAAAAACTTTACAATGATTAGTCAGTGTGTAAACCAAAAAATATTTAGAAAAACTGTACAAGGATTAGTTAGTGTGTATGTGTTGTTCACTTAACTTTTACATTTCCATATGGAGAACAGATAGTCATAAGGGATTCTTTTGAATTCTCCACAAGGTGGTGATTGGATCTGAAAAAATTATTAATAGAACGAATTTAAACTTGCTGCTTACTCAGGACATGTTCCAAGATGGTGAAAATCTGGTCTAGTAGAACAGTCTCATGATAGCCTGGAAGGGATGCATCTCTTCTAGAGCTCATATGAGCTGAACCAGATGTGACTTGAGTTAAGCTGTTTGGTAAGAAATGCTTGAAATCAGCTTGTTTGGGTTCATGTACAAACTTGATTGAGCTCTTTTATGAGCCAAGCTCAAGCTATGAGTTGTGCTAAAGTATTATTCTCTCTCTCTTTTTCCCTGAAATATATGCGGGGATGATAATTGTGGCTATTTTTTGCAATCTATTGTTAATATTCCTACAATTATATTATTCCTCTTCAGGCTGTTGAAATATTGAGAACAGACTATGTACCCTCGGATGTTGACATTCTATATGCTGAGGGTGTTACTTCATCCAATGGGCTTTCTTGTGTGGACTTCTCATTTCCCCAGCCAGCACCGTATGATCCAAATGACACTGCTGATCAGCATGATTCTTTACTCAGGTAGTTAGCCCTCCTCTCTTCTCTCCTCCTCCTCCTCTCTGTGCTCTATTTGTTTATGAAGTTTATGAGTGTGTTATCCTTTTTCCAGGACCTGTCATGTTAGCGTGTTAGTCTTTTTCCAGGACCTGTCATGTTAATTGCAAGCATAATTTCAGATTTTCGCATCCCAATCAGTAGAAAGATGTGTCCAAATGAGTAGACAAACACACACATAAGTAAAGCTCTGTGATTTGTAACATATGACCTAGAAACTGTGGCCTCATGCGATAATATTATCATGAAAGAGAATGCTCGAGTCTTCCTAGGAGATTGTTGAAGGAGCATCCTGTGAGGTGTTGTATATGGGCCAATGGCTGGCTCATCTCTTATTCAAGTTGAAACCTTAGGACAATATATGGTGTAAATTCCAACATTATTAAGGTGTTGCCTTTGCCTAGCAGCATCCCTGCCTTTTGTTCCTGGGTCATGCGGTTGTTTCTGGGTGACCCTTGGGCCTTGGTAACACCATAACAGCTAGAAATCAAGCACTGGATCTGCTATTTGGTTACGTGGGACTTTAATCTGTAGTGTTAAAACATGTCGCTAATAGGAAGTGGTACAGACTGACTGAAAAAGAGAAGGTAAAACCCAAAGCCAAACATGTCCTTGCACAACCAGAAGTTGTGCTGAATAAGAGATGATATGATTGGGTATGCACACACACACACACATATATATCTCAGCGATATGCCATATTAAATTCAACATGCTTTTGTAACAAAAAGCAACTATATAGTCACCTGTTTAGCCAGCCATTTTACCATATTATATCCTTTGGACGACCAATTAACTGGCAGATCATGAGTTTTTTTGTTCTCTTATTAAAAGTCCGTGTGATTTTGCTGAAAATTCTATTGTTGATTTACTACTATTGAAGATTTCAAGTAGAATTTACTTTTGCATGAATGCTGCCAAGTCCCTAGCTTGGCGGTGTTGATGAGGTATGTTTATACTGGAAAAATAAGTGGTGACCAGCCCAAACCCCTCAAGCTTTACTGTTTGGCTTGCTTATAAATTGTTATATAGATTCAACTATGGCACTGCTGTGTTTTATAGTCTTCAATACTCTACACACTACATTGTTGACGGTTGTGGATGTTAAGTTATTCTTTGACCATTATTTTTTCCCTTCTATTGGTATTCAGATACCAACTAATTAGAGTACAAGCCAGAGGCTTCATCGAAAATTGCAAGTGGCTAGAGATGTTTGAAGATGTGCGACTTGTCATGTTCTGTGTTTCCTTGAGTGACTATGACCAGTTTGTCACTGATGGAGATGGGGCTTCGGTGAACCAGATGTTACTGAGCAAGAAGTTCTTTGAGAGCATTGTTACTCATCCAACATTTGATCAGATGGACTTCCTTCTGATACTCAACAAATTTGATCTTTTCGAGGAAAAGATTGAACAGAATCCTCTTACTCTATGCGATTGGTTTGATGATTTTCGTCCGGTAATAAGCCGTAAAAGTTCCAACAGCAACATCAAGAGCAGCAGCATCAATAATAGCCCCTCCCTCGGCCAGCTGGCTTACCATTACATTGCAGTTAAATTCAAGCGGCTTTATTCATCTCTCACTGGTCGGAAGTTATATGTTTCACTGGTTAAGGGTTTGGAGCCTGACACTGTCGACGATTCTCTTAAATATGCAAGGGAGATCTTGAAGTGGGATGAAGACAGACCCAACTTCAGCTGGAGTGAGTACTCTGTTTATAGCACCGAGGCAAGCTCTTTCTCTCATTGAAGTATAAATCAGAGAAGGCGTAAATGGATCCTATTTCTGTTTACCGATTGTCAATCCCTGTGTACATATGAAGACGTATAGATCACCTAAGAGAAGAGATGGTTGAATGAATGACATTACTTCCTATTACCTTTTCCTCCTTTCAACCATGTACTGTTGCAGGCTCGCAGCTGTCGGATTGTCAGACACTGACTGGGGAGTCATCCAAGGCGATGCCTCTATACTGCATTTTACAAATTTTCAGAGTTGGCTGAAATGCCCTAATTTCCATTCTAGTTATATTGTTGAACAATGCCATCTTCTGACATTCTCTTCCCGTGTTGTCACATGTTTGTGTAGTTGGGCTATTTTGGAATATGATTTAGCAATATTCAATTGTAATATAAGGTGGACAATACATCTGATTTAGTAAATATTTGTTGTTACCCATATAGTCGTGTTAAAAAGATACTTTCGAATGCCTCACAAAATATGGCCTCCCACCCATCATCCGTCATCCCATTTCTTTTGTTAGTCCATTCTAGGCTTTCTAGCTTTGCAGTTATTTAATTATTATTATTATTTTAATGTTTCTCAGCTGAACATCAACCCTATTAGTCCATTTCCCAAACCAGGGCTCTCATTGCTATCCACACGTAAGCCTGCTGTTTGGTTGAGAGGAAGAAGGGGAAAAGGGGAAGTGGAGAGAATGTGGAATGGACTATGGAGAGCCTTTCCTTTAAGGGCTTCAAGGGGGGATGTAGTAGTGTTGTACAACGGAGAGCCCTTCAATCATTTGTTTAAAGAAGGGGTTTTCCTTCCATGCCTCCAAAGGACAGGAGGGAAAGGAATAGTAGCAGAGAGTCGAAAGAAGGGAAAGGCAAGAAAGGGTTAGGCAATGGCTTCTTAGGTTTTGGCAAAGAGGGAAGGAGAAAGGAAGGGAAGAGGCATTTCCATGCAAGCCCATCATATTAATCACATTCTTGCGATAAGAATTGGAATGAGTAAGGGAAAAAAAAAATAAAACTTCCTAATTTTTATTCTTTTTCTGTTACATTATTTTAATTTAAGCACTATTTATTTAGAATTTAAGAGTGTAATTATAAATTCATGAAACAATCCATTCTTTGTGTCATTTCTTTCCCCTCTCTCTTCCTTGCTTCTCTTTAAATTTTCTATCACACCAAATGGAGTCTGAAGTCTTGAGTTGCAGTATCTTTAAAAGACATAAAAAATACTAGTATGAGAATGTCTCATAGTGTTGAATGAAGAAAAGTGATAGAGCCAGTCTCTCCATCCAACAGTTATGAGAGTGCGATTCATCATAGTAGACTTGCTCAAAAAAATTTTTTTATAAAAAAAAAGAACAAGAACAAGAACAAGACGCTGCTATTAAATCTGTAAAATTAGAAAATTTATATTACATTATACAACCAGATCCTAATATCTCACAAAGGTGAATAGCTTCCCGCGTAGCAAGGAAGAAGAAGAGAATGAGGAGGTAGAGGTGGGAGGAAATACTAATCCCACATGTACAAGCAGTCCAAACATAATGTTACAGATGACTTAACAGTTCACACATTTAGCTTTTTTACTATAAGCTATTCCAAAGCTTATACAATAGAGTAACTGACCACTAATGGAGTGGACTTGTGAATTTAATCCTTCCTATAAGACAACTATCCAAACTCGTCAGTAAACAAAAGGCAATTTTTTTTAAAAAAAACCCTAATATCATCAGTCATCTACAAAACTATACCGAGCTTGCTCCTGTGTACTCAGTAGGATATTTTTACAAGCCCACCCTAACCCTAACATTCTTTCATTCAACAAGACCAAATCCCCCTGTGCGCATCGCTTGCTATCTTCAAATAAATTAAACCAATCCCTGATAACTGAATCGGATATGTCATGAGCGTCCAGAATATTCTCCCAGCTGCTCTTACTCGATAGGAGGCCCTTGCGGATATAGCATGCCTGCATAACAACATAAATATATCACATGAAATTAATGATCACCAAAAAATGTGCGAAAAGGAACAAGAGACTGCTTCCTTTCCTCCAGCGAAACCTATTGGCTCGGTGGTGCATGCATTTATAATGGCAAATTTGCATAAACAGAATTCATTATACCTGCAACAGACCCATGATCACATCTGCTGTGCCTGCCCCTTCCCGCAGACAAAGAAGAATACCTTGCTGCAATTTTATTTATTAAAAATGAAAATGTGAGAGTGTGCATTTTAAGAGCAAGTTGTTTTTGCTAATATTATGCGACTGTAAAGATAAACACACATTTAATATACTCACTTGCTCATTTCTTGACAATCCTCTGCAGAAGGTCTCCAAGCAAATGAAGTAGAAATCCTCATCGTTCAAAGATCGCATTGTCATCATTGACAACATTGGTATTTGACTCTTGGAATATAAGCAACCGATTCTGAGAGGCCACGGTTCTGTGCCTGATGTAGATAGATCTTACAAAAATGACTATCTAATACTAACCAGCTCATATCAAAGCACTAGATCACAGCTACAGAAAAAAGGGTTGAGTGCTCACCTTTGCTGCACAGCAAACCGATTCCTTCCTCTTTACTCACTTCTGCGGGGGAAGGAACATATCCAAACTGAATCCATGTATTAATTATAATCTCAAGCCTACCCTGAACAAAAAAAAAAAAAAAAGGAAATGTGAGATGGGAATCTTTATACACTTTTCTTCATTGCTGAACAAATAAAATCGGTTATGGAGCATGTATGCTTCAGAGGAGAACCAATTTATTAAATAAGATGTTGCGAAGGGAAGATCACAAGGGGAGGAAGTTGGAGGAGTGGGTGGTTTTGATGAAGGCAAAAGGGTAATTATTTACTGTGGTCACTGTTAATCGAGTGTGCTGAGAGGAATAGAATGGATTTGACACGACTATTGACATTAATTGTACAAAGTGGCTATTCTGAGTGTGCTCTTCATGTAGGCAAGGCAAATCAATTACTGATTAAGCAGAAGATCGATCAGATTGAACCAAAGTGATATCAGCAGGTAAACTAAGCAAATCTGGTCAAAAATTGGTTTATGAATGAGCAGAAGAGAGAATTATGACAAGAAAACGCATACTAGAAAAGCCAAGCTACAACATGCCTATCAATTGACATTTTAGGGAATGTTTTCTAGTGAGCATGATTAGCAAACAAAAAAGCTAAGTAGTTTGGTGAGAGAACACACCATCGGATGGCGGCGCAACAAACAGATGAAAGAAAGAATCCATGTTCATCTACAGTGAAAAAATATCTTAAGATGTAAAAGTTTGTAATTACAAGTTCTTAAATACCACTAAATATACAGTATATACCAGTAAAAGAAGAAAAGACCCACCTTAGTTAGTGTTTGCAGATGGACGTGCTTCAGCCCTTGATAAATTCCAAAAAGGTCAATTGCCGAGAAGATTGGGTATACAACAAAGGGTAAACCTGCTTGCAATCTTTCACATTATTAAGAAATTAGAGAACTTCCAAGCAAGCAAATTTATCATTTCAGATGGTTTGTCAAAAATCTTTGGAATGATCAAATAATTATAATGTGTGGCAAAAGAAAAAATTTGTATATATCAGCAAAAGTTTTGCAGAGTGCTGACAGGTAGTGCTATACCAATATATTATAACGAAATATAGATCAGGAGGAAAAAGATACTACAATCATATCGGATTGCAACAATAAAGATACATCAGATTGTCAGGTCAATAGTAACAAATGAGATGAAAGATCAGTAAGAATAAATTCTGAGAACATTAAAAGTAGCCATGGCAATAATTCAAAATTAAGAGAATGAAAAACAAGAACCTTGGACTGTTTTTCAACAAAATGTTCAAGCTTGCAGCAAGCATAAGGCCAATGTTGTCGAAGCAGACTGTTTGAATCTGAAACCAAAACCAAGGATCAGTTTATGATGTACAGAGTAGAAAATTAAGTACGTAAAAGGAACATGCTAGCAAAAATCATAATTAACCTGTGCCTTCGCAGATACTTCACCAAGGTTATCCGCTATTGCGAAACTCCGATGAACAGCCGACTGTTAACACCAATGTGACAACTCAAACTCCATATGACAAGTTGAACCCAAATATATATATATATATATATATATATATATATATTTTTTTTCCTAAGCCAATTTTATTATTCATCAGCAATACAAAATTTTTATTGAACCTCAGATCATTCAGAATGAAAATTTGTGAAGGTAAATATGGTAAATACATTCACATGAACAAGTGGAAACCAAAAATTCTATAGGAAAAAAAAAAAAAAAAAAAAATGAAAAAAAGAAAAAGAAAGAAAAACCTTTATTTATCATTAGCAGGGTTGGCAAATGACCATATACTAAGATACATCCACCATCCATGTCTGTCCAAACTACATTTTAAGATTCAATCTATATTTGACAAAATCAAGCAGCAGATGCTAAATGCTGTTCTAGTGCACATGGTTTTTAGATGAGAAGCGCTACTGCCAATTTTCATATAGGGAACTACTTGGTAGATGATAAAAACTCAGGCTAACTAACACAAGCACACAGGTTTTTGTTTGAGAACAGCCGCTTCCTACAAAAAAAAATAATGACAAAGGTTTGATCTGCCGCCAATCACTCTCGCAGTTGCAGCAATAACATAGGTGGATCTTAGCACCAAGTAGTTGCCTTCTTTTAGTATTTAAACTCTTTGCCATCACAAGAAAATGCAATTCAATGCAATGAAGAATACAGAGAAGCATCATCTTACATCAATTTTAAGATATAAAGTACTACCTAGTTTATGTCATGTCTAATGAATAATCCAATTTCCAGAAAACAATTTGGAACGAAGATCCCACATGTTACGGAAAAGAGTTCAAGAGATAGTTGAGGCTTTAAAACTTACACCAGTTGCCAGATAGCATGAAAGGCTAATTTGTTTAGCAATGTTGGCTACAGATGCGAGAAGCAAGAAGTATTGGGGAAACGCCGGAGTCAGCAACTCAACTCCAATGCTCAAACTGAACAGCACGGATGTCCAGAACCTAACTCTCTTTAAAGGAGATAACAGATAGCGATTAGTTAAAAAAGCTTTAGACATCACATTCTAGGGCACATACTCTGCAATGTCTTTCCATTCAATTCTTCTGCAGTTATCATTTTCACCATTCACATGGGGTTCTTTTGAATATTTTCTTTGACATAACAAGATTATCGTCCAAACAGAACAATGAGTTGCTAGTGATTGCCAATTGCAACATGAGCAAGTAAACTGTAATAGCAGAGTATGTGGCCCAGATTTTTGTGGGAATAGAAGCCATACCTTTAAATTGGTATCAAAAGCAGACGCTAGGCTGGCAGTATAGATGCACCTACTTAGCCGTCCAAGTCCATCCTTCAAGACCCAATTCAGGGCAGCAGCTGATGGGAGTGAACGGGAGTACCCAATTCCAATTGCTCGAAACAATGCCTAGCAATAGACCATTTTTTTACATCATCAGGACTACTGAAAGAACAAGAATTAAATAAATAAATAAAATAAATAAATAAAAAGGAAAAAGAAAAAACACAAAGAGCATAGCCCTAACATCAATAAATTTATCTGCTTTTGTTTGTATGACTTGTACATTCTGAGGGGAAAAAAAATAAAAATCAAACCTGATAGCCACATATGTACAATGCAATTACATGTGATGAGCAATTATATAATCAATTTTCCAATTGAAATAATTATTTCTGCATGAGAATGACAATGCTTGCCCTTTTGGCAATATACCTACAGAGTCAACAATTCATCAAAAGAACATAGGAGCGATGTTCACATAAAGTCCATATTATCAAACATTTGTGGAAAAGTATCTTCAAATTACAACTAATCATTAACCTTTCACAAATTGTTAAGCCATCAAAAACACCAAACCTGTTATTTAACTCAAAAACTAGTACTACACACACACACACACACACACACACACACACACACACTTATAGCACTGAAATTTAATCTCAATCATGAACACAATATTACCTGAGTAGCAAGAACTTGAAGTGCAGAACTGAAGACCCTATGGAAGAATTTCCATTTCACATACTCCAGATAATTCCCACTAATTTCCGTCGGAAGAAAAAAATTCCTAATTGCAGAACTACACAATCTCAATAATTTCCGAAACCCATCTTCAAAATCAGAACCGAACCACCACAAAGAAGAGGCATTTCCATCAACAGAAACCAAATTTAGCTTCTTTCCATCCCAAAAGTACCGAGAAACGCTACCCGACCGTCGAATTACGACAGGGAGGCGTGCCGGAACGGCGGGTTTATCTTCTTCGTGAAGCTTTTCTTCTTCGAATTCGAAACCCAAGGAGGTTTTTAAGGAGTTTGAGAGAGTTAGGGGCTTAAGAGAAGATTTGGTATTAATGGGTATGATTTTTTGGGGAACTAGAATGTGGGTTTTGTGTGGTTTCCATGGATATTGGAAACGAGGAGCAAAATTGGAAGCAGTGTATAAGGTGGATTGCATGAGAATCGATCAAATTCCCTCTCTATATTTGTGTGTGTGAGAGAGAGAGAGAGAGCGAGCGAGCTCTACGTTGAAGGACAACAGAAGACTAAAACAGATTTTCCGCGGAATTTTGGTCATCTTTGAACTGAACATATTGTTAGGGTTTAAGGAACGAGGCAAATGCTGGGTCGCAATGTAAGTAAAGGATGGTGGATATACGACGTCGTTTGACTTCTTTTTGAATAACTGCACAGTTTTGCAGCTAAACCAGCATGGTTTGTTATTTACAGAGTGAAAAACAAATTAATAAAAAGATGTAAATACAAATTGAATAATGAAAGACTAAAAATTAAGATTAAATTAGAAGAAAAAAAAAGAGAGGAGCTAGTATATGGGCATAAATGCACAAATTGAACCTTTGGGTTATATGCACTAAAATTATGATTGTTTAATAATGAGAAAGTGGAAGCTAAATATGTTCACAAAAGAACAGAATGACAATTTTGAATCATAAAGTTAAGGAGCTAATTTTGATTTTATTAAAATGGTGAATTGTGTCACTTGTGTGCGTAATCAAAATAATTCGAGTTGTTTAAATCTCCAACAAAAATCTTTGAATATTCAATGGAATCTTATAGGATTAAAAAAAACAGGAGGCTCCAAATAATAGGATGTGGCCAAAAAATGTAATGAATTAGTAGTTAAAGTTAGTGGATTTTGTTTATTGGGTCATTTTTGATCGCATAGTATTCTCGAGTCAAATTGTTTATGAAAAAAAAAAAGGTCAATAAACTATCTTATATCAATAATGATTTTTATAATTTTACAAAATTAACTTGATCATGTTGAAAATTTCAACAAAATCAATGCAAACAATAATTTTACAATGTTAACTTGATCATGTTGAAAAGAGTCAAATGCACGCACAGATCTTGATTACTACTTTTAAAATGAACCAAAATAAAAATTAGATCAATAAGTTTATATGAATTATTTCCACTCTAAATTTTCTTCTTCTTGTTCTTCCCCTAGTTATTTATCAATTTTTTTTTCTAGATTGAGTTCAATTCTTCGTATGCACTGGGGGTAAGATCCTTCCCACGAATTGTTGCCATGAAATTATCTTGAACAGGGACGAACATTACAACCACTCAGTTAACATCGCTTCGCAATCATTCAACTCAGTAAAATTTTTGTACTTGGAGAAATTTGAATCACAATCTGACATGTAAACAAAACATGCTGAATAAAATTGACACATTTACTTGCACGTCCAACTGAAAATATCAAAAAATCCAGTGGACATGTCAATCTAAAAAGACCTTTATAATTATTTTAATACAAGATTGGCGGTTTTGTCTATGTAAATTATTCAACTTGAATGTCCATAGAGCTTGGAATGAAGACGTGGAGTGAGTAAAACTTCAAGCGGGGTTGCCTTAAGGTTTGTGAGGCCTAAGCTCTCAGTCATATCCACGTCTTTGTGGGATGGCTTGGCTATATCATGACAATGCAGCAAGCTAGCCAGTGTGAGATGCACTGTCTGGAGTGCAAGCGATATTCCCGGGCACGAGCGCCTCCCCGAGCCAAAAGGAATGAGCTCAAAGTTCTGACCCCTCACGTCCACGTCCTTGTGCTTTGTCAGGAACCTCTCCGGCCTGAACTCGTGTGGCTCAGACCACACGCGCTCATCCCGGTGGATCTTCCATGCATTCACCATTAGGCGTGTTCCGGCGGGGACTTGGTAGCCGGATGATAAGGTGCACGCTTCCATTGCAGCACGAAGACCAATGATTGGGACAGTTGGGTACAGGCGCAGGGTTTCCTTAACAATGGCTTGGAGGAAGACAAGGTCCTTGATGTCCGATTCGTCCACGTGTCTGTCCTTGCCTACGTGGGTGTCCAACTCATATTGGGCCTTTTCCAACACGTGTCGATTGTTTAGTAGTAGAGCTAGAGCCCAAGTGAGAGTAACCATTGTGGTGTCGCTTCCTGCTAAGATTAAATTCTACAAGAAACAAAAACTCAATAACATGCATGAAAAACAAAATTCGGTGGCTTTCTCTATCTTGATAGCGTCAGGCCAATGAACTAAGAACAAAAATATACAAAGGGACAATCTTGACTTCGAGCACCATAATATTCTACTTAAAGATGAAATTGAAAGAGGTTTGATTCAATTGGAAGGGACATGGCTTTGACAATTCTACTCCACAGCAATCTAATCTAAAATTGTCCGGCCATATTTAATTGTAATAAAAAATAAAAAATAATAATAATAATAAAAGAGACTAAACTAGTGCACGAGACTCCTATCATTACTAGGTTTGGGGAGAATTGGACGTTCAGAGTCTTATCTCATGGAGAATTTGTTTTTAGTTTCGAACCCGTGACCTCTAGTCAGGGACGGACCTAAGAAATTGTATTGAGGGGGCAATAGTGAGATTTTTTTTTTTTGTGATTTTAGGGGGAGGGGGATTTCCCACACGGAATACATGGTAGGTTTGTCCCTGCCTCGAGATTACAATGGAGCAAATTTACATGCGTGAATTGCATGTTCTCCCGTCTCAGAGAAATTACTTTGAGTTATATCCAAAACAATACCACTAGAGTACGTTCAGTTGGGACATCACTTACCAGGCATGTAGCCTTATTGATGGTATCAGTATCAAAACCAGAAATTTTGGCATCTTCAAGAATGTTCAGCATCACATCCATGAAATCCTGCTCTCCTTTGCCCTTTTCTCCCAGCAGCCTCTTCTGTTTGTGTTCCTCCAGCCACCCCCCAATCAGAGCCTCGAGTTCTTTCGCAGTACTCTTCATAGCTTTCTTGTATCCTCCCCAATCCAACCACCCAAGAAATGGAATTTCATCTGATAACACAAAAACCCCAAACAGATAACCAAAATTCCTCATAACCTTCTTGTACCTTCGTCTCTCCCCTTTGTCGCACTCATCACTGTTTCCAAAGTATCGCTTCCCTCCCACCATTTGCACTATTGTGTTGTTTGACAAGTCGCCGAACCATTGCTTCATATCAACCAAAACTCCACCTTTGGCACCTCCCTTATCAGCCCACAACTCATACAGTTCTCTTATTGAAGTCTCAACTTCTGAAGCTCTCGTGTGTTTGATCATATCAATCCGTCGATTAGATAGAAGCTCCAGCGTGGCTATCTTGCGCATCTCGCGCCAGTAAGGACCATAAGGAGCAAAGCCAAACATAGCAAAGTCATAACCTAATAGCTTCGATGCAGATATGCTTGGCCGGGTGGAGAAAACCTTGTCATGGACAGTAAAACACTCTCTGGCCATTTCCCAACTGCTGATAACCAGACTTTCATGTGAACCAAGCCTTAGAGTGAAGGCTGGTCCGCACTTATCTGCCAGGGCTCCGAACAATTTATGTGTCAGTTGACCACCAACCAGGAGATGCAAGTGACCAATAATAGGCAAAGCTCCACCAGCTTGAGGCACACCACAGCTCTTCCTTGTACAAGTAGATTGTTTCTTTCTGTACACAAAAACTAGCAGAGCAAGGAGGCCAGAGGCCAAAGTTATGAGGTATAGGAGAAGAGGATCCATCAGAGTTGGTAGTGGCAGTAGCAGATGAGGTTCAGTTTGTCTAAAGCTGACTTCCACATATCTAGCCTTATTATAGTTCTCAAGTCTTTCATTTTCTTTGAAAGATAAGATCTGTTGCTAGAGTTACTGCGCTTTATTTAAAGAAAATTAAACAGTCAAAGACTTTTAGCTCACAATTTAAAAGTATGTTGTAGGACTATCACTGTGCTTTATTTAAACCATTTCCCAAAGGTACCGTTCATGTGTAGTGATCCAGACCCCAAAGTATGGCTTTGCCATGTTGCAAGTCAGCATACATTAATAATATTGGCTATGCCTACCAAAGCCCCCCATCTACTATACTTCGAAGTTTGGGAATTGAGAAACTATATTTCAAGAGAGACTAAAACCTGTTCCTAATCTGGACCAAAGATGAGGATTAGTAAGTTCTGTAGAGTGATTGCAAAAGAGAAATATAAGCATATCAAAAACCAAATTCTGATCATGAAATAGATTTCACAAAGTGATCTAATTACAACGAGTTAAAGCAATTCAAGTGAAAATATACGTTCAAATTTTCGCATTCATGCCCCAAATTCACGGCATTCTTCTTGTTATGGTGTTTTTTTTTCTTCGGGTTCTTGACCCTGGATAATTTGTACCTGTATATATTTGCTTCTGCCTCTGCGTCTTCCTCTGCTAGGGACAAACTCAAATATGCACTAGTCATTTAACCCAATACTGTAATTATTCAAAAATTCCTCAGCCCCTGGGAGAAATCCAGCCAAGCATCCTTTCTTGGAACAATATTCAAGGCCATGAATTCCGATTCTGATCACGCAACACCATTTGTGGCTTGAGTTTGATATCATTATTGGTCACTATGCGTTTAGGAATTGTCTGCAGCCACAGCTAAATGTAATAATAAGTAAATCTTGTTTAGACAAGCACAAGAAAAATACCATATCAAAGTCACAGACAAAGAAAAACTACCAAATTCATAACTGATCATTGTAATTTCAAATTCATAACCGAAACCTCCTAATAGGTGTTCTACCACACAAACAAATTTCAATCAACTCTACTTGGTTGAGCAACAGAATCTTCTGTCTAAAAAGGGAACCTACTTTGTAATTTAAAGATAGATCAATGCAATCATTAAGGGGATACTTTGGTGTCCACAACTTATTATTAAAGCAACTATTGTTCAAGCTCCTTGAAACATAATCTACACTACAAATTAACAATCCAAATAAGCAGCATGATATGATTGGAATTCAACTAAGAACGGATAACATACACAAACTCCAATAATCAACTCTATTCTGTAATATCTCAGGGGTTTGAGCCTCTGATGTGTACATTACATCAAAATAGAGAAGGGCATAATGTCAACAATAGGGTTCGTTAAGATACAGACGAATTGGTTTCACATCTACTAAAAAACATTAAAGATAAGAGCAATCTCAGCCAAGATGAGAAGAAGTCTGGAATTCCCTGCAATGATCTTTATATTTTTTTATTAAAAAATAAAAAATAAAAAAAAATAAAAAACCAGACACACATACACACACTCAATAATATAGCCTGGGATAGCAATCCCTAGAATTATGTCAAAAGGAAACCATTTTCAACATCTTCCATCTCCACATGCCAAAATTTCCCACTGGGATCTTTAAGGATGGCCTCAGACGGTATTGTTCCATTAAAATGCTTGATAAAATCTGGTGGTACACGCTGCAAAAATGAGATATTTAACTTTACTAGTTACATATTCAAAGAGCAGATAAACTATTAAACTGCAACTAGGAAAATTTTCTGCTTAACATTCTAATTTTCACCATCACGCTAGCCCAATTTTTTTTTAATAAGAAAGTAGTAAAGAATAAATATTGGCCTGTTTCTCTTCCAATGAAACAGCTGCTCCCGTTTGGATTTGTGGCTCAGAAAATTCAGGAAAAGGAAAGAAATTAAATATTATAGGTCAAAGATTTGGGACCATAGCGAACAAAACCTCAATGAGGGTTAGCCTAATGAGCTATATTTTTAATCTGTATCTCTGGAAATCCAAACATTGGAACTAGCAACTGAAGGAAGGGTAATTTTATTGAAATATAATTTGATAGGATACAAAATAAATGAATAAAGCAAAGAAATAGAGCCCCGAACAGCAGAACACAACTTTCATTAATTTGCGTCGAGTGATTCCCATTCTACTACACAATTTGCATATAAAATGTCTTCCTCTAATAGGAGAGCATGACAGATTGTGCAAGTTGGAGGCATATAATTCACAACAAAGACAAAGAAATTAATAAAAGTTTCGCTTTCTTGATATTCTTGAAAAGGAATATCATGGAATGTAGAAAAATAAAACTAAAGTAGTTTGCTTAGAGACCTTATTTATCAACAGATTATAAAATGTTCAGAAACTCCTTAAGTAACAATCCAGTTTCATATATAGGGTCTTGCAAACAGAGCCACCATTTTACACAAGTAATCACTATTTTATGCTCGTACTATATGACTTAAGGTAATGGGAACTCAGCTCAGCTATATGACTGTCTTATACTTAGGTGTCATTTGATAATCTAATTAAGTGCTTAGCAATAACACTAAAAATTTCAGTGCTTAATCTATCAGGTTTGATAACTCAGAATTAGCTATCAATTAAAAAGAAAATTTTCGCTAAGGATCTAAATTGAGTCAACAGTGACTTGACTTGCTAAAATGTGGCAAGTGAAAGGGAATTCAAAATGTAGGGTAAATTACATTGACCTCCCCTATTGTTAAGCAAAATTACATGGACCTTCCTAGTGTTTTCAAAAATTATACTTTTGATTCACTCGTGAGATCCGGGCGGCTTATGATTTAATTCGGAATGAAATATACATTGTGTTCCAAAATAATCCTTTCTTGTGAGAATGATTAGCAAACAAAAAAGCTAAGTAATTTGGTGAGGGGGGGCACACCATCAGATGGCAGCACAGCGAACAGATGAAAGACAGAATCCGTGTACCTCTACAGTGAAAATTTATCCTAAGATGTGAAATTTTGTAATTAAAAGTTCTTAAATACCACTAAATCTACTGAATATATCAGTACAAGAAGAAAAGACCCACCTTAGTTAGTGTTTGCAGATGGATGTGCTTCAGCGCTTTTAAATTCCAAAAAGGTCAATTGCCGAGTAGATTGGGTATACAACAAAGGGTAAACCTACTTGCAATCTTTCAAATTATTAAAAAATTAGAGAATTTTCCAAACACATTCCTACTGTCTATCAGCAAATTTATCATTTCAGTCGGTGAGTTAAAAATCTTTAAAATGATTGTAATAACCCGGTTATTTTCCTTCCTTTCTCTCAGATTTTCACGGATATATATATATTTTTTTTCCCGTTGATCTTTTCCTTTCTGAGTTCAGTTTCTCATCACATAGTGTCGTCTCGGGTGCTCATAAATAGTTTCTGAGACTTTTTTTTGGATTGACAACTTCCTTTGAGGATCGAGTCATTTCCATATTTTCACTTTTTGGACACTATTCACTTTTCATCATTTTCCCTATTCTGTCTTTTCCCCGTTTGTCACTTTGTTGCCGTAACCTCACTTCTTGTGTTCGGAGTTGGTTTTTGATTTCACGTATCTTCATTTTAAGTGGTTTTCACGAAATATGTATCTTTACTTTTGTAAGAACGTACTCTGGTTGCTCCCGGTGTCTATAGGGGCATAAATGCATACTTTTTCAGAATCTTTTTCTTTTCTAGGGATGTTTTTTGTAAATATCTTTTGAAGATATTTTATTTCAGGGGTTTTTAAGAAAATATTTTTGGAAGATATTTTCATTCTGGGCCAATTGTGCAGTTTTCACTTTCGAGAGGGGCAATTATGCAATTAATGAAAGTTATTGATAAATGCCTTGTTTTGAGCCTAGATCCTCGTACGGGTTTAATTTTCACTTTTCGTCGAGTCGTGTTCTCATGGAATTTCTTTCTGATTGTTTTTATCTAGTTTCAAGGTTTCTGGCCTTAGTTGCCGTCGAACTTGTTCGGGGCATATCTCTCTGCTCGAAACTCAGTTTTCGAGGCCGTTTCTTCCGTTGTTCATCTTTTCTTATTTTGGTTCTTTTTTGTTCACAGTGTTTTACCGTTTGAGCGCGTCTGCTCAAATCCACTTTTCCGGACCCGGCGGGACCCGTTCGGGACACTTTTAGGGTTTTCTATAAATAGGAGGTCTTAAGAGAAAAATTCAGATTTTTCTCTCTCTCTCTCTCCTCTCTCTTGGCCGGCAGCCATGGCAGCCAAGGGGCTGCCACCCTTCTCTCTTCTTTTCCGGCCACTTCCCTTAGGTAAAAAGGTGTAGTGCCATAGTGTTTTATGCTTGCCTTGCCATGCTCTACCTTTTCCCCTAATTAGAATTTGTTTTTGGCCAATTCTTGAGTTCGGATTTGAAGTCAAGTTGTGATTTTGATGGGACTTCCTTGGGGGTTATGTTCATCAAGTTGTCCCCGACAAAACCTAAAAGTTTCGTCGGATTCGGAGCGATTTCATTTTGGTGGAGATTTGAGATTTCATCTCAAATGGAGGTAGGGGGTGTTATAATTTCATATTTTAGTTGTCTTGCATGTTTTTGATGCTTATACAACTGGTATGCATACTTTTGTTAAGAATCTAGAATTTAATTTAATTATTTTTTATGGTTAAGATTTAATTCTCATGATGGTATTCAACTTAGAATTAAATTGTGGCATACTAGAAAATTAAGTTTTGAAAGTTTAATTCTCATGGACGTACCTTACATGAAATTAACTTGTGATATGCTATTAAATTAAGTTTTGGCTTGTTCTTTAACATACTTTAATTTGAGAGTATTTAGATGAGTTTGAAAATCTAAAGATTTTAATTAAATGGGTTAATTAAAATCTAATTAGTGGTTCCATTGGTTTAATTAAGTTTTAATTTAATATTTGTGATGACTAGGACTTGTGTACTAGCATATATTGATTTGGGATCATTTCGAGTTGATTTGGAAATTAGAGATTTAATTATCTTACTTTAATTAAATTCTATCTCATTGTTCCATGGATTTTAATTATGTTGTAGAAGTTGTTTCTATATTTAAATCATGGATTTGGACTTGTTGTGTAGTCACTTGGTTATGTTTTAAGCATTGAGTACATTGTTGTTAAAATTATATTAATGAGGACTTGTTTCCAATGTTGAATATATGATTGACTTGTGTAATGAGTTGTACATTTTGTGTTTGACATTATATATGTTATTTTAGAATTTAAACTTTAAGGCATGAATTGTGTGGTTTCAACATACTTGTGCATGAAAGGTGGTTTTCGTGCATTGTATAAATTATGT